ATTTTACTAACAAAAATTGCTATAAATAAAGCATATGTTTTTATTATAATTAAAAAAGATTTTGAAATGATAAATATTAAAATGACCATTACCAATTTAAATGTAAATATTGTAACAAATAGACTTATATATAATTAAAATAAAAAGTATTTGGTTTATAAAGTTAAAAGTTTTTTTTATTAATTTAAATATAAATAAAATTAAATATATCAATTAATTAATTTATATTCTCAATACAGTATCGCGGACCATGTCCGATTGGTATAAAAGAGTAAGGATGCTTCTCTTTTATTTTGTCTGCGTTGAACCGTTCAGGATCAAATTTATCTGGGTCTGGGTATATCGACGGATCTCGCTGTAAACCAAGCAGCGGTATAGTTACTAATGTTCCTTTTGGCACGCAAATATTTGTTGTCGGTAAGTTTATTTCTTTAGTACAAACGCGATTCAAGATAGAAAGAGGTGGATATTTTCTCATAGTTTCTGCAACATATAAAAAAAAAGGGTAGGAAGACATAAATTTCTTTCAAAATGCCCAAGCGATTTAAATATACATATAAATAATATAATATTTTTCTTTGTTGCATCTCCTGTCAAGTGGAAATTTATTCCGATGACATGTGTACTTGCCATTTATTATATTTTGAAGATATGTCATTTCGCTCAGAGCGTCATAGGTCAGACCACCGTGCTTTGACAACATTTCGTCAATTTCCTCGCGAGCTTTATCTTGCACGTCTTGACGTTGAGATAATTCGTATAAAGCGTACGTCGCTATTAACGAAGAACTTTCAAAACCAGCTAGGATAAAAATTACAAATATTCTCATGTTTTTGTAAAATAGCACTAATGTATGCAAAATTAGTACAAAATTCTTTCTTATGAAAAATATGCTGTTTATCTCTCTTCTAATTTTACTAATTGGCAGGGTTGGGTAAATTAATATATATTTTTTTAACTAAATTAAGTTAAAGTTAACAGTCTAAAAATTTAACTTAGTTAAGATACAAGTTAGTCCCTAATAAAATTAATTGAGTTAAAAGTTCGGTTAATAAAAAAAAAAATAGGGCAAGCCCAATAGCCGCGCGAGGATTTACGCCGCAGAAGTCAGAAAAAATAGAAAAAATAAAACTAATTTTCTCGCAACTACTCTGTTACATGTCTTTATGTTATATTAGTATTGTGTTGTGATTTCAGTTTTTTACTGTTAATATTTATAAAATTATTATAAGTTAAATCGATTTATCACTGTAATAAAGATCGGAAGAGCACACGT